GGGATGGCGTCGATTGATCACAGGAATATTGAATCTGAAGAGGAAGAAGTTAGAATTTTGTCAACATCTGATCCCTTACTCGGTGATCCACCGGCGTATACCATCATGCCGGTTCCACAGCGCCATAACTCGCCGTCGCCGCCTGTGGAAGTTAATCTGTTCAAGGAAGAGCCGATGGAGAACGATTTGGAGGGTTCGATTCCTGTAGCCATCGTCCCAATGCCAACATCTAACAAACAAGTTGCAGTGGCCACGCCGCGGAGGGCTTCGAAAGACCGTCACACCAAGGTGGAGGGACGTGGCCGGAGAATCCGCATGCCGGCGGCCTGTGCTGCTAGAATCTTCCAGTTGACAAGGGAACTTGGCCACAAATCCGATGGGGAGACGATTCGGTGGTTGTTGGAGCATGCTGAACCGGCTATTATTGAAGCCACTGGCACCGGAACGGTTCCGGCAATCGCCGTTAACGTTAACGGGACGTTAAAAATTCCGACCACACCAAGCGATAGGGAAGGTGCTACGAAAAGACGGAAAAGGGCTTGTAACAGCGAGTTTTACGATTCAGCGTCTTCCAATTTTGCCCCTGTGGCGCCGATTGCTCCGCAAGGTCTTGTCCCCGTTTGGACCATGGGTGCACCACCCACCACCGGCGGAGCTTTCTTCATGATTCCACAGAACGGGATGGTCGGACCGTCCTCCACCCATCATCCCCAGTTGTGGGCCATTCCCGCCGGTGCAACACCCTTTTTCAGTATGGCGGCAAGACCGATTTCTAATTTTGTGTCAGCCATGCAACCCGGTGGTGATGGAGAAATTCAAGCACCGTCAAGGTCGGTATCAAACAACAGCGGGAGTGAAGAAGATAAGTCAGGGAGAGTTTCAACAACCATGGCACCAAGCTCAAGCTCGGTGTCGACGGCTCAGATGCTGAGGGATTTCTCGTTAGAGATTTATGACAAGAGGGAGCATCAATTCATGGTTGGTTCTTCCATAGATCAAACTCCATCTCCAAAACCTTCATCATAATCATGGTAGTTAAATTTCTTACACAAAATGTTAATCTTTTAGGTGAAATGTTCTTTGTAAATGGGAAAAAGGGGAGGCTTTTTAGATGATGAAATCGTGAAAAAAAGTATACTTTTTGTTGCACAAGGTATAGATTTTTAATGGCTTTTAGAAAGGCAACTTGAAATGTTAATCTCCTAATTTTCTACAGGATTAGAACAGGAAAAAGTTATATGTATATATTAACGTCTTATTGAAGTCATTCGTGTCCATTCCATCCAACTTAAGATTTATATTGATATTAATAATAATTGTGATTTAGTGCATAGATGAATGGGGACGACGTGCCACCATGTGATGTGGGAGCCATTTTTAGCTTTTGAGGCGGCCAAGGTGGTCCACAATCGGGGACCTGGAACACTTGGCAGCATCTGCTGATGACACGTGTTAGATGCTAGCTGTAAAAGAATCAAAACTGGGTTCAGATTCAATATTCTTCTGGAAAATGTGAGAAGGGATCACACTCTTTAATCCAAATTAGAAGTCAGAAGACATTCCTTAATTCTCAAAGATTAAAACTAACAGAAGGCAATTACTGGATTAAAGCAAATTATGTAGTCCATAGATGGTGAGGCCCAGATAATTCTACTCTTCAACCACCGGAGATGAGGATGGGCAAATCATTCTTGGATGTTATCCATCCATAGCAGCCCTTCTAAGCTACCAGTAGGCTTCATGACTACCCTTGAGACTTGTAAACTATTAATATCATCAAAATGGTAACACATTTCTCTTTGATCAAGCAAACCCAAATCTGTAAACCGAATCTTTTCCGAGCTTTGTTCCCGCAACAAACGTATCCATCGGAAAATCATAACTTTGCCAAATGGAAGTGACGGATTAGCCGACATCCAGATGATGTCGCCAGACGATTCCCTGGGGAGTAAGAGACAGTTTGCCGGAGTTATTGGAGAGTGGTGAGTCCGGTTCGCGACCCACGTAAATGTATATGATAGTTATTTGATCTGCGTTTTATTTGGATGAGTTGCAGGTGTGGTTGTGTAATGTGTAGTGAGGGAAGGGTGGGGGTGGTCATAGAGAGAGGGATAGTCAGGAAGAGAAGAACAAAACATGTGGCATTATTTGATTGGTTTTCTAAAACGGATTTTTTTTTATTAATACATGAAATGACTAGGTTGCCGTGAGTTAACAGGATGGATGTAACGGTGTTAGTGTCAGAGACTAAATGCAAAACCATAGGGACCCTCGGTGTACTTATTCTGAAAATAGGGACCATATCTAGATTCTGATCAAACCACAGGGATTAACGGTATAGTTTACTCTATTAAAAAATATAAGAGGAAACTTTATTTTTGTTCCTCAAGCTTTAGGGAAGAGTCTGAAAATGAAAATGGGACCTGAATTTTAATAAGTTTAAAATCATTCTTGTAGTTTGTATTTTGTTCTGAAAATGATTCCTGATTACTAAATTCATTAATAATCTCTTTTAGAATGAGGGGTGTGTTTGCCTTTTTTACTTGTCTTCTTAATTTTCTTTTAAAAGATTCAAAAATATACATATTATATTATATATAGAGAGAGAGAGAGAGCGATGTTTCAAATGCAACTTATCATATTTGTATGATCAATGCAACCCAATCAATTGAGATATTTATGAAAATGATAAGAGTTCATTTACTATGATTTGAATATTTATGTACGATGTCTGTGGTTTATTAATTATGTTCAATACTTTATATTAAGAAACAATCAAAACTTTTATGGAATCACATATTCATCAAATTAAATGGACGGTTGAGATTAAGTTGTATTAGTTGTACAAATGTAATGGATTGTATAACAAATCATCTCTCTCTCTCTATATATATATATATTCCATCCAACCTTCTACGATATATGTACGTATACATAGAAGGTATTTCTTGATGGTGAAGTTGTGGCCGAAGGAAGCTGGTGGTGGTGGAGTGATGGAGTTACGGTCGGCAGGAGGAAGCTGGTCGTGATGGAGTTCCCGGTGGCACGTTGGAGGAAGCTGATGGTGGTGGGTATTCTGGTGGCTTGAGGAAGAAGAAGGGGGAGGGGGATGTTTAGGGAGCTTCACCGGCAAATAAGAGTTAGGGGATGGTGGTTTGGTACACATACGACACCAAAACCTGTCACCATCTCCGCTGAAACCCCACATCAGTTGCATCTTCATAAGCTTAAACCTCCCAAAATTACCTTTGGATATATATATAGGTGGAGGTTCAAACGAGAACCCCTGTGATTTACGAAAATGCGAGAACAACTCAATAACCACAAACTTTTTTAATTAATAAATTAACTTTTATTATATATAAATAATTTAATAAGGGCAGTAATGTAATTAAGTAATTTTTATAATTTTTATTTTATTTTAATTAACCATGTTTATCTTCACGTTTTCACGTCTTCTTCTCCTTCATTGATCACGTCTTCTTCTCCTTCATTCATGCGTCTCCAAATCACACACATATCACACCAAATCGGTAGTCGATTTTTTAAGTTAACC